CTCTGTATTTTGAGCACTCAAGATCTTACACATATGGTGAACGTGAAGAAATCAGATAGTAATCATTAATTTGTGTGTGTAAGAAGCAAAGGGTTTGGGGGGAAAGTGGAGCTTGTGAGCAAAGCACAATAGTATATTGGCACCAGATGGAAAGTAAGTTCCTGCAGGTGATATAACAAGTTACTCATGATCCCATTACAATATCTTGCTAGCTAACCTTGGGTGCTTTCGCCTCGTGGAGGCAGCTTTCTGCCCTAAGCTTTTTTTCTAACCTATTTGTGTAAGTAGAACCTATTTCCCCACATAACCACTCCTGCATACCAGGAATAAATCCCACTTGATCATGGCAATGCTTTTTTAATGCATTGTTGGATTCAGTTTGTTAGTATTTAGTTGAGGATTGTTGCATCTATGTTAATCAGAGATATGGGTCTTTAGTTCTCTTTTTTTTGTGATGTCTTTATACGGTTTTGGTATCAGGGTAATTCTAACCTCATAGAATGAATTTGGAAGTTTTCTTTCCTCTTCTTTTTGAAATAGTTTGAGAAGAATAGGTATTAACTCTTCTTCAATGTTTGGTAAAATTCACCTGTGAGGCTGTCTGGTACTGGATTTTTGTTGGGAGGTTTTTGATTACTGATTCAATCTCTTTGGTGGTAATAAATCTATGAAAATTTTCTATTTTTTTTTCTGTTTCGGCTTTACTAGGTTATATGTTTCTTGGAATTTATCCATTTTTTTCTAGATTGTCCCATTTGTTGGCATATAATTTTACATAAGATTCTTTTATGATTGTATTTCTGTTGTGTTGGTTATTTAGCACTTATATTTGTAATTTTATTTATCTGAGTCCTTTCTCTTTGTTTCTTGATAAGTCTAGCAATAGGTTTATCAATGTTATTGATTTTTTTCAGGCAACCAGCTCCTTTTTTTAATGATCTGTTCTATTGTTTATTTAGTTTCTGTACCATTTATTTTTGTTCTAATCTTTATTATTTCCTTCCTTCTGCTATTTTAGGGTTTGTTTATCTTTTTCTTTTTTAAAGATATTTTCATTTTTCAAAAGTTTTTAGGGGTGCCTGGGTGGCTCAGTCAGTTCAGCGCCTGACTTTAGCTCAGGTTATGATCTCACAGTTCATGGGTTCAAGCCCCCACGTCGGGCTCTGTGCTGACAGCTCAGAGCCTGGAGCTGCTTCAGATTCTGTGTCTCTCTCCCTCTTTCTCTTCCCCTCTCCCACTAGCACTCTGTCTCTCTCTTTCAGAAATAAACATTAAAAAATTTTTAAAAATTAAATTAAAAAAATTTAAACTTTTATTTATTAAGTAATCTCTGCCCCTAACATGGGGCTCGCACTCATGTCCCCAATATAGTCACATGCTCTACCAACTGAGCCAGCCAGGTTCCCCTTGTTTGTTTTTCTTTTTCTAGTTACTTTAGGTGTGAGGTTGGGCTGTTTATTTCAGATTTCTCTTTATTTTTGAGGTAGACCTGTATTGCTATAAACTTCACACTTTGAACAGCTTTACCTTCATCCAAAATGTTTTGGACCGTTTGTTTTCATTTTCAATTATTCCCATGTGCTTTTTGGTTTCTGTTTTGATTTCTTATTTTACCCATTAGTTGTTTAGTAGCATATTATCAAATGTCCATGTATTTATGACCTTTCCCAATTTGTGTGTGTGTGTGTGTGTGTGTGTGTGTGTGTGTGGTTTATTTCTAATTTCATAACGTTGTGGTCAGAAAAGATTCATGGTATGACTTTCATTTTTTTTTTTAATTTGTAGAGACTGATTTTGTGGTCTAATATGTGATCTATTCTGGATAATGTTTCATGTGTACTTGAAAAAAAAAATGTGTATTCTGCTGTTTTAGGATGGAATGTTCTGGATACATTGGTTAAGTCCATTTTGTCCAGTGTGCCATTCAAAGCCATAGTTTTCTTGTTGATTTTCTGTTTAGATAATCTGTCCGTTGATGTAAGTGGCATGTTACAATCCCCTACTACTATTGTATTACTACCAGTTAGTTCCTTTATACTTGTTATTATCTGTTTTATTTATTTGGGTTCCCTCATATTGGGTGCATAAATATTTACAATTGTTATATCTTCTTGTTGGATTGTCCCCATTATGATTATATAGAGAGTCTGTTTTTGTCTCTTCTGACAGTCTTTGTTTTAAAATCTACTTTGTCTGACATTATTATTGTTCCTCTGGATTTCTTTTAATATCCATTTGCATGATAAATATTTTTTTCCATATTCCCAGTTTTAATCTGCAGGTGTGTTTTAGTCTAAAAATGAATCTCCTGTAGGCAGCATATAGGTGAGTCTTGCTTTTTTTAATCAATTCTATCACCCTGTGTCTTGATTGGAATGTTTAGTCCATTTATATTCAAAGTAATTATTGATATATATGTATCTATTGGCATTTTATTACTTGTTTTGTGGTTGTTTCTGAAGTTCTCTTATTACTCTTTCTCTCTTTCATGATATGCTGTTTTTTCTTAGTGGTACATTTAGATTCCTTTCTCTTTATACTTTGCATACCTATTAGTGGTTTTTGATTCATTGTTACAATTATCTTGTACAAAAAAAGAGGTTAGAGTGGGAGAGAGCCAAACCATAAGAGACTCTTAAAAACTGAGAACAAACTGAAGGTTGATGGGGGGTGGGAGGGAGGGGAGGGTAGGTGATGGACATCGAAGAGGGCATCTTTTGGGATGAGCACTGGGTGTTGTATGGAAACCAATTTGACAATAAATTTCATATATTAAAAAAAAACAATTATCTTGTACATAACATCTTCTGTATATTGCAATCTGTATTAAGTTGATGGTCATTTAAATTTGAACTGATTCTTTATTCCACTCCTTCCCACGTTTTAGGTATATGGTGTCATATTTGACAACCTTTTATTTTGTGGGTTCCTTGACTGTTTTTTTAACAGAAATATTAATTATCACTGCTTTTGTGCTTCCTATCTTCATATTCTAATTTATAGTTCTTCCTGTCCACTCAAAGAGTCCCCTTTAATATTTCTTGCTGGCTGGTTTAGTGATCAGTAACTCCTTTAGTTTTTGTTTGTCTGAGAAACTTTTTATCTCTCCTTCCAATGTTGGTAGCCTTGCTGGATAGAGTATCTTGGTTGCAGTTTTTTCCCATTCAGCAGTTTAAATACAACATGGCCTTATCCAGTTCATTCATTTGGGATAGATTTCTCTGTCCTCTCATTTTTTTCTAAGTCTTTATGCATGTTTCAATGTCTTAGGAAAGTCAACTACTTCTCCTGTTCTTGAGGGTAATGGTCTTATGAAGAAGATGTCCTGTAGTGCTCTGTAGTGTAGTATAGTACCCCAGGGCTTAGTACTTCAGGGGGTGTCTCTAATGTATGCTGCAAGTGCTCTGCCATTGTGTCCTGGGTGCTCTACCCTCAGGCCAGTCATCTGCAGAAGCTCTTTTTGTCTGTTGTGGGCAATATGTGATCCCTACCTGAAAGTGACAAGTTTTAACTAAGATGTGCTCTGGTCTCCTTGTGAAATAAGACCTTTCACCACTGCTACTAAAACCAAGGCCCTGAAAAACTCCTGGTTTGATAGATGCAGTATGGACAGGGCTTTAAGCTGGTCTTCTAGGGGAAGGAGCCCACTGCAATGGGACTGAGGCAAGCATGACTGAGAATGGTGGTTCCACCACAGCATGGGGGGGGGGGGTTGGGGCTTGGTGTAAGCAAGTTTTGTGTCAAGTATAGTCTAATTGGTTCCTGCAAGTGACCCTGTGTTTAAACTGAAAGGCTGGGGAGGAAAATGGTGCCTGCCCTTTGTTACCAGAGGGGTCTTTCCCTGAATGCTGACACACTACAAGATATGCAGATATCCTCCCCCACTGTGTACCCCAGGTACTCTTCATATTGCTGTTTCCATGTTGTATGTCCACACGTTATTTGCCCTGCTTTCTCTCCAAGAACAGCCCCAATGCCCTCTGTGCTTTCCCAGAGCCAAAGCCTCCTGACCTTTAAATCTCTAGACTTTAAACCCAGGTGGTTTCAAGAACTCACAAAATTCATCCTGTCTTGCTTTCCAAGCCAATTTCTATGGTGGCTTGTATTCCCCCTGTGGGCTTCTCGGTGTGCTAGTCTGTCTCTGACCCTTTTCTATCGCTTCAGCTCCTTCCCCACCATGGTAGCCATGATCCGTTTCTCTACCAAACTGTGTCTCCACACCTCCTGCCTTCTTTGGTGTGACCTCTTCTCTACCTTTAGTTGTGGAATTTGTTCTGCCAGTCTTTAGGTTTATGGTTGGGTCATTTAGGAGGATTTGATAGTTATCTAGTAGCATTAACAAAGAAATGCAAGCCTAGAGTCTTTGTATTCCACCACCATCTTCCCAGACCTCTTTGCTTCTTTTTTAACATTTTGTTTTGGCTTCTTCTCATCTGATTTGAGAATTTTTATGATTCCATTTTATTTATTGTATTTATTTATTTATTTATTTACTTATTTATTTATATCTCTTTTTTTTAAACTTTTTTAGTGGTTCCCCTAGAGTTTACAATGTATATTTTAAAGTAATTTGGGTTCACCTTCAAATAACACTATATTGTTTTACATGTAGAACAAGCACCTTATAACAGAATATTCCCAGAATCTTCTTCACTTTCTTTGTGTCATTGTTGTACTTATTTAATTTTCATATATGTTATAAACACACAATACATTATTACTAGTATTGCTTTAAGCAGTTATCTTTTAGGGGCACCTGGGTGGCTCTGTCAGTCAAGCATCCAACTTTGGCTCAGGTCATGACCTCATGGTTTGTGGGTTTGAGTCCCACATTGGGCTCTGTGCTGACAGCTAAGAGGCTGGAACCTGCTTCAGATTCTGTCTCCCTCCCTCTCTGCCCTTCCCCCATTCATGCTCTGCGTCTCTCTCTCTCTCTCTCCCTCTCTCTCTCAAAAATAAATAAGCATTAACAATTTTTAAAACAATTATCTTTTAGAACGATTAAGAATATGTAAAATAAAAGATATATATTGCTTTTATTTATTCCTTTCCCAATGCTCTTCTTTAATTATGTAAATCCAGTTTCTTGACCTATATCATATCCTTTCTTTCTAAATATTGTTCTTTAATATTTCTTATAAGTCAGTTCTGCCTGTGATGAATTTTCTGTTTTTGTATATCTGAAATACAAGCATTTACTTTGCCTTTATTTTTGAAGGATATTTTTGCTGAATTTAGAATTCTGGATTGGCACGGTTTGTGGTGTTGTCACTGTTGTTTGCTTTCAATACTTTAAAATTTTTATTCCACTGTCTTTTTGTTTATGTGGCATCTGACAAGAAGTCTAGCATAATTCTTCTCCTTGTTCTTCTGTAGGTAAGGTGTTCCTGCCACTCCTTTTTCCTGGCCTCCTTCAATATTTTATTTTTGCCTGATTTTCTGCAATTTGAATTTGATACATCTGGGTGTGGTGTGGTTCTTTTTAAAATTTATTTACTCTGCTTGGTGTTCTCTGAGATACTTGGATCTGTGGTTTGGTATCAATAACTCAATTTTAGAAATTTTTTACAATTTTTTCTTCAAATATTTCTTCTTTCCCATTATCTCCCTCTTCTCCTTTTGTCATTCTAATTATATATTGCATATATTTTATATATACATATATATTACACTATTTGATACTTTCCCAAAATTTTTGGATGTTTTATTCTTTTTTCTTTTACTAATTTTTCTCCCTGCATTTTAATGTGTTTAATTTCTAGTAATATATCCTCAAGTTCATTGATTCCTCAGCTATGTTAAGTTCACTTATGAACACATTGAAGATATTCTTCAGATCTATTACTGTAGTTTTTTTCTCTTGATTTTCCTTTGATTCCTTCTTATACTTTTCATCCATATACTGAAATTATCTGATCTTTCATGTTGTCTACCTTTTCCAATAAAGTTTTTTCTAAATTTATCAATCATAGCTATTTTAAATTCCCTGCCTTATAATTTCAATATGTGTATTATACCTGAATCTGGTCCTGATGATTTCTTTTTCTCTTCAGACTATTTCTTTCTTGCCTTGATTCTTCCCTTTCTGCTGCTCTCTGGAGACAATTTGTATGAAGATGAATCTTCTATTTGTGTGAAGATGTAATCTATTATTTTACTTTTTTTTTTTTTTTTTTACTCTGGTAGTAAGGAATAGGTGACTAATGACATTTCATGTTAGTCGGATTAAGCCTCAGCTTTGGCATGCTTATCCTCAGTCTTGGAGGTGTGACCTTCCCATGTGTGCTGCCTCTTCTCTAACTACAGTGGTAGGCCCAGGACATCACCCTTCTTCCTTCACATTAAGGTTTATTTGCTTTAGGGGAGATGGAGTAGATTGGTATGGGCAGAGTTTCAGTAGTGTTGGCTATTCCCTCTGTCAGCTGCAGTTAATTTCCACTACCACTCTCAAGTTACAGTTGCATTGTCTTTCTCTGTGAAGACTAAAGCTTTTGTTTCATAGGATATAAAAGGAGAATGGTCTGGGCACAATTTCAGCAATACCTGCTATTCTGTTTTACTCCCCAAGCCAGAACTATAGGACATCTCAGGATTGTTCTATCTTCCCTGTCAGCACCTGGTGGAATTCGTAGAGGAAGTCTGCAAGAGGATGCAAAACCACCTAGGTCTTCAACCCCCAGGGGCTTCACATTCTCATACAAGCCCACAACCACGTTAGAAATTTATTAAAAAGTTTTAGCTGAGTCGACTTATGAGTGTATGTTGAGCAGTAGTATCTATGAAAAATAAGCAAATACCTGGACTTTGTTGCTCCCTGAAGATGTTTGTTTATACAGATTAAGGGTTAGCTGTTTGCAGCACTTTTTCTTTTCATTTTATTTTATTTTTTTTCAAAAGATGAAATTTATTGTCAAATTGGTTTCCATACAACACCCAG